CAAAAGAAAGAAGAGTGCGCAACCCTCGACCACCGTGCCCGCTCAAAGAAAGTATCCAACAAGCCTGCGAAATTGTTTGCCGGGTGGGGGGGGGGGGGGGGGGGGGGGGGGGGGGCAGGTGGTGCCTCCCTATTAAGGAGCTGTTAGTATAAGGGGGAACATCTCAAATCGCACGTGTCTACTTCTACTCTTCCGGTGTCCCCATCGCCCTGTGCAGCCGCTACATTGGGGCCTCCGCTGGGATCAGCCACACGGCTCTGCTGCGCAGCGACGGGCAGGCTGTTTCCCGTCGGAAATTCTGGGGCTTGAGCCTTCATTTAGGGTTCCTAAACCCTAAACCCTAAGCTAGCCCAAAACCCTAAACCAAAACCCTAAACCCTCAACCCTAAACCCCCAAAAATTTAAGCCTAATCACCTAAGCCCTAAGTCAGTTTAGGTCCAGGTTTACAGACCCCAAGGCCCGACCCGTCCTCTTAACGAGCCCAAAGCCCAAAAAGGGTGGAATAGGGTTTAGGGTTTAGGGCTATAGGGTTTTAGGGCTTAGGGGTCCTCTGTGTTCTTTCTGTCCAAGGGTATAGGCATATGGGCCTTCAATATGGTCACAAAAACCTGCTTGAAAGGATTCTGAGGTATGGGCTGTTGATTCCTCTGTGTTCTTTCTTGTGGCTTGCGATGTACGGCCCACAACCCCCCCCCCCCCCCACCGCGGCTTCTGTGACGATTTTTTGCTCTTGGCCTTGGCTAGCTTTTTCTTTTTATTTTTTTTTTTTGGGGGGGGGGGGGGGGGGGGGGGGGGGGGGCCTAAACCCTAAACCCTAAACCCTTTGAATTTAAGACTGATGGCTGGTCTTGGAGGGTAGGAGTTTTTTCAGGATCTTGGGTCTTGCAGATTTGGGATTCGTCGTTTTTGGGCGAATGCTTCGACTATAACTAGGGCTTACTACGAAGGTGCAACAGGACTTAGGAAGATCTCGGGGCTTTGCAACGTGGGGGCCCCTAGCATTGGGAGTAGGGAGGTGGGCTTTGGAATTGGGAGCTCGAACCCCAAATGAGAAGCCCCATAAGTCCTAAACCGAGGTCGTCTTTGGAAGCACCTCATCCGGCGAGTGCCAGGTACGGGTCTCAGTCAGACGGTAAGAATCTCGACAAAGGCTGACGGGTTAGATGCTCTTTTTGCGAGCTGCTTTGCAAAACATAGCGAGCCTCAACTGGACCCCCACACCTGCAATAAACCCTCAACCCTAGACCCTAAACCCTAAACCCTAAACCCTAAACCCTAAACCCTAAACCCTAAACCCAAAGTCTGTCCTTAAACTTTCAGAGCCGCAGGTCCCGGAGCTACCGGCGGGCACCAGCTACGTGCAGGTCGTTGCTGGCTACACCTTCACGCTCCTGCTGAGGCCAAGTTAGGTGCACGTAGGGCTTGCAAAACCCTGAACCCTAAACCCTCAGCCTTCTAGCCCTTCTAGCCATAAATCCCTAAGCCCTACAACCCGGTACCCAACACCACTCCCAAGCCAGTTTTGGGGTTTTTTGGGTGGCCCTTAAGCCCCTAGACGTGTAAACGCTCATCCCTCAACCCTACAGCCTAACCCCTAAACCCCAAAACAAATCCTTAGAAGCCAGTGGTGAGGAGCGACGGCGTCGCCGTGGCCTTCGGGGACAACTCGGCCGGCCAGTGCAATTTGCCGGAGCTGCTCGAGGGCCAGAGCCATCCAGCTTGAAGGGCCATTATGCGGTGGTTTGAGGGTTTAGGCGCTTGGGTTTAGGGCTTAGGGCTTAGGCTTTAGGCTTTGGGATTTCGTACTTTGGTTCAGGTAAGCTCTTTTAACCTCCCCCCCCCCCCAGAATACAACACAAGCTTCACACCCCAAGCTTCCTAAACACGACCTTCAACCTTTCCTCCTTCCCCTCCCTCCTCCCCGGGCAAGTCCACCTCGGGTTTAGGTTTAGGGTTGAGGGTTTAAGGTTTAAGGTTTAGGGTTTGGGGTTTAGGGTTCAGGGTTTTACGATATACCTCAAGAGGGTGGATGGGTCTATGAAGGGTTTCATATTATACCAAATGGGGTTCGGTTAGGGTCCATATACCTTGTGAGGGTGCATGGGGTCCAGGGTTTAGGGTTGAAGTCGTGGATTCAACCCGAGTAGGGGCTCTTTCCAGGTTCATATCTCTATAAATAAACAAACAAATGAATACACAAATAAATAAATAGAATTAACAAAAATATATATAAATAAACAAACATATATATATATATGCATATACATATGTATAAGATACCTTACTGCGGTTTCGAGCTTGGTGTTGCTTCTCTCAGGCTATGTTGGAGCCGCAGCGGGGCGTACCCATGCGGTGCTCCTGCGCGAGGCTCGCCGCCTAACGATGTACCGTTCACAGTCAAGTGCATCTTGGGTCTAGGCGTTTAGGGCTTCGGGATTAGGGTTTAGTGCAAACTCGGTTTGGCTTCGTGTTCAGCTGTAGGCTCGTTTTCCGCTTCAGTTCTCGCGTCTGAGGTTTCTGGGAGGGAACAGGGAAGCCTTGCTGCCCCCCCCACCTTATAGGGGGGACTCTTTCGTGTCACAGAAAGGATTGCACAGCTCTTTCTAGGCCTCTTTGCCATGTCCCTCCCAGTGCTCCAGACCTAGGACTGCGCAAGCCTGGTTAAGATGCAGGGACTGCTTAGAGTTCGCAACAGGGGCCCACCCCAAACCCGAACCTTCACTTCTACAATACGGCTCCTAAACCCTGGACCCTAAATGCTAAGAAACCCTAAACCCCAAACGCTGAAAGCCCCAAACCCTAAACGCTAAAAGCCCTAAACCCCAAACGCTGAAACCCCTAAACCCTAAAACCCCCTAACCTCTAAACCCTCGAATCTCCTGCACCCTCCCCAATCTCCATGGCCTGTCAGGATGGTTCGGCGGTGGCCTGGGGCCTGAACAATTCAGGCAAGGAGGGTTTAGGGTTTAGGGTTTAGGTTTGGGGTTTAGGGTCTAGGGTCTAGGGTTAAGGGTTTGGGGTTCCGATGGCTCACGTGAGAAAAGCCGGAGCCCACGTTGGGGATATCATGCAACAGTTGTAGGGTTCTTAGGTAGCCTACAGCGTTGAGAGGTCGTTTGGGGGGTTGCCTCAGTGCAAGGCGGCAGAGAGATGTGAAGCTCAAGACGCAAACCCTTCAAAATTCCCCGAAACCCTAAACCCCAAACCCTAAACCCCAAACCCAAATAGCGTTTCGGGTTGAGGCTTGAGGGTACACCATATGGGGGGGTGGCCTCCGGAGCCAGAGACTCAAAGGCCTGCCGAAGTCCTCGCTGGGCGTTTGCAGAGCCGAAGCTTTCCGTCCTCGAACGGTGTCTGGGCTGGGGTGTGGTCTTGGAGTTTAAGAGCCTTGAATCCCGTGGCCCTGTCTTGTTTACATGAGTCCCCTAAACCCCCAAGCCCTAAACCCCTAGACCCCTAAACCCCTAAACCCTAACCCCTGAAGCCGTAAACCCTAAACCCTAGCTTGTCGCCTTAAGGCTCTGGAGTCTAAACCGTTTCAGCCCCTCCGCCTCTGTCCTTGGCAACCGTGGCAGGCTCCTGCACCGTGCCTGATCCGCCTGAGGGTGTACGCTACGTCGACGCTGCCGCAGGCAGGGGCTGAAAAGGGTCCTTGGAGGTTCAGGGATTGGGGCTTAGGGTCCGGATGTTTGTCAAAGCTTTGTGCCTTCCCCCAAGAGTAACCCCCCCCCGCCCCGCTTCTCCACCCAATCTGAAACTCTGGATCTGGGGGGCTTTCAGGTTTGGGACATGCTGTTCAAACGTTAAAGTTATAGTACATTTCCCTTTATCCTCAAATGCTTGTCAAGCTTTCTTGTGTAGGTCTGGGGTGGCTACCCTAAGCCCCAAACCCTAAACCCCGGACCGCAAGCTGCTTCTGCTCTCCATTCACAAGTCGACTCTAAATCCCAAGCCCATATTTCGACCCTCAGTGCCCAGCCACGCTCCCAGCAAAACCAACAGGAGGGACCTTCACGCATACCTATGAGATATTCGGATCCTTGTGTCGAAGGGGTCCCCTTTAAAGGGCATACTACGGGACCATGTACGTACCCTAAGATTGTTTTCTGAAAATCGCCCTGACCCCTAAACCACAAGAGGGAAGAAGATGTTCAAACCTTCCGTGCCCATGCCGAGGCGGCGACCACACAGTCCTAATACGGGATGATGGAGAGGCGCCCTTTCTCATGTGCAGCGTTTCTCACGTTCACGGCGCACGTCATCGGTTTAGAGGGTTTCGGGGTTCTACGGTTTGTTGAGTTGATAGGGCTTACAGGGTGGTTTCTCTTTAGAGTTTCCAGGGCTTGCAGAGTTTTTTGGGGTTGATTGGGCTTTTAGAGTCTTGCGTCGTGAGGAGTGGATTGTAGATGTCAAGAGCGACAGCACGTAAGGGAGGGCATCAGTCATTCCTAAACCCTAAACCCTAAACCCTATATAAACCCTAAAGCCTCACCCTAAACCCTAATCCCTAAACCCTAAACCCTAGACCCTAAACCCTAAACCCTATAGGGTTTAGGAGACCCCGAGGCCGTCGCCTTCGGCCACAACGGCGCTGGGCAGTGCGACCTGCCACCGCCGGTCGAGGTTGGCTCGAGTTGGTAGTTGGTAGAGGTTCCCTAAGTGAGGCTGGGGTTTAGGGGTTAGTTTAGGGTTTAGGGTTTAGGGTTTAGGTTTAGGGTTTAGGGTTTAGGGTCTAGGACTAGGGTTTAGGACTAGGGTTTAGGGTTTAGGGTTTAGGGTTTAGGGTTTAGGGTCTGACTTCGGGTTGGGTTTGAGGATTCAAAGGCCTGCATCTCCATGTACAAAGTTCTTCAGTCAAGTATGCAACTCTCTGGCTCAGAATTCCTGCTGATGGGATTTAGGGTTTAGGGTTTAGGGTTTAGCGTTTAGGGTTTAGGGATCTTGGGTCCCTTTACCCTAGACCATGTGGAGTATACGGTCGTCGAGGCCCGGAAGTTAGATTAACCAGCGTTGCACAGAGGATCGGAGAGAGAGAGGGAGAGGGGGACAGAGCTAGGGCGAAAGAAAGACAGACAGAGAAGTAGCCAGGGCCAGTGGAATGCTGCAGAGTAATTACTCAAGAGTTAGGTCATTGGGCTGCTGAGCAAGGTTCTAAGTGCTCTAGGTGCAAGGCTAAACCCTAAACCCTAAACTCTAAACCCTAACTTCTCACTTCTGCAGCTACTGGCCGCTGAAGCCATGCTTAGACACCAGATCCTGTTTCACTCCGAGAGACTTGTAGTATCCTACAATTTATGGCTCGCTGCCTTTCTCACACCCTCCCAAACCCATACCTAAACCCTAAACCCTAAACCCTAAACCCTATGCCCAAAGCCCATTTTTTGTTTTCTAGGTCCTACGGTCCGAGCTCTCACCTGCCAGGGCCTGCGCTACGTGGCGTGCGCTGCTGGCTGGACTCACACGGTGACACCACCTTCGTACATTAGGGATCCTTATACGGTTTAAGGAATATTGCTTAAAGGCTTAAAGTATATCAGGGATCCCTATATGGTTTAAGGAATGTTCCTTCAAGCATATTCGGGATCCTTACATGGGGTTGTATAAAACCCCCGCGCGTTCAATTTATGAAAAGAGCTGCCCTAAGCGTTTGGGGCAGTGCTCCTGACTCGTAAAACGATAATCAAGAATAAAAAAACGATAGCGTTATAAAACGGCCTGATTGCTGCATCGCGGCAGGCAGGCGACACTAGTACTTGTACTACAAATCAACGAAAATCCAGCCGGCTCACAGGGACGGCGGTTCCAGTACTAAGCTTGTACTACAAATCAACGCAAATCCAGCCGGCTCACGGCAACGGCGGTTCCGGTACTAAGCTTGTACTACAAATCAACGAAAATCCTGTCGGCTCACGGGGACGGCGGTTCCAGTAATCAATGAAAATCCCGCCGTCTCACGGGCACGGCGGTTCCAGTACTAAGCTTGTACTACAAATCAACGAAAAACCAGACAGCTCACAGGGACGGCGGTTCCAGTACTAAGCTTGTACTACAATCAACGAAATTATCGGTTCTAAGGCATGAAGTTGTAGGTTGTTCCACAAAACCCTGTAAAACGATAGTCAAGAAGAAAAAACGATAACCCTAGAACGGATGAATAGATTTATAGCGGGGTTTTTATACAACCCCACATGATTTTAGGAAAATTCCTTAATTAAGGGGTCCCACGTTGACAGAACCACTGTGATCAAAGACTTGCAGCTGTGTTGGGCCAAGTAGAAATCCCTAAAACCCTAAACCCAAAACCCTAGAAACCGGGGAGCTTCAAGACATTGGTCTGTCGTTCGTTTTGTTGGGCGGAGTGACCGGCTGGAGAGCAGCAGGTATATAACTGGTGGCGATGTTACGTGGCGTTGCTTTAGCTAGGTGGGCATTTTGGGACATGTTATACGATGCCTGAGTGGATGTAGAAGGGTCTTCTTGAGGATGCTTTCAGAGGGGGATCAAAGGGCCAGCAAAACTAGGCATCAGACGTAGATTGTGCAGCATGGCCATTCGAGCCGTTGACAGTGTTGCTTAGCTAGAAGGCATGTTGATCACAACCGGATTGCCATGCCAGTTTCAATATCCTTGGTAATCCGTGATATTACTTCTATCCTTGGCATCCTTGTTCTTATCAAGTTATTTTCGCTCAGCTGAACATGGCAGGACTCTCAACCCAGAGAGTCCAACACCCCTTAATTAAGGAATATGCCTTAGATTTTGTAGGGATCCTTAACATGATTTAAGGCATATTCCATAATTTAGGGGGTAGCAGGACTCTCAAGAAGCAGCGCAGGTACTTCTCCGAGACGACGGGGTCGCACTCTGTGTGGGCGGCAATGGCCGCGGGCAGCCAGGGCCCCCAGTCCCACCGCAGAGCCCTTGAGTTCAGTTTAGGGTTTAGGGTTTAGGGTTTAGGGTTTAGGGTTTAGGGTTTAGGGTTTAGGGTTTAGGGTTTAGGGTTTAGGGTTTAGGGTTTAGGGTTTAGGGTTTAGGGTTTAGGGTTTAGGGTTTAGGGTTTAGGGTTGATAAGTTTAGGGTTGATAAGTTGGTTAGGGTCTACTGTAGGGTTAGGGTTTAGGGTTAGGGGCTTAAGGTCCCTTTCCAGGGTACCCCTATCGAAAACGGCACCCGCAGACTCAAGCCCCCAAAACTAGGACCGGGAGTAGGCCCTTTTTTCCTTTTTTTTTCTTCTTCCCTTATACTTAGAATCCCCTTACAACCAAAAAGGGCACCCTTTTTATTCCTAGGTGCGAATTCTGCTTAGTGCTGCTTTGACCGAGCACATCCGAGCATAAAGTCACGCAGCTGAGTTTGTGCAGAGGTCCCCGCGTTCTCACAGAAAGCTTGTAACATCCGCGGGATCTGAAGCCATGCGGTCTCAGGCGTTATGGGAAAAGTCCTGCGCGCAGCATATGAGTAGCAGGTTTTCGGCAGCATCCGCATTGGTGGCGCGGAGCTGAGATCTAGGGCCATGGAAACAGCGGCGGCGGCGAATCAGGATGCTACCGAAGGCCAGACAGCTAGTGGCGGTGAGGCAGCAACTCAGCAGTGGCAATGGCAGCAGCGGCAACAGCAGTGGCAGCGCCCATGGCAAGGCGGTTGGTACGGCTGGTCCTCGGTGGGCTGGGGTGTAGATGATTGGCGTGGCGACCGCAGATCATCGGTGTCTTCTTGGGGAAGCGAGGGCAGTGCTAGTGGTAAGTGGTGGTCGACACCGCAGGGACCTGTGTGGGGGTCATCACTGGACGAAGCAGTGCATTTTGCACTGCAGCGTGGGTGGTTTTCTGTAGACAAGCAGTTCTGCGAGTGGTGGTCCACACAGGGCAACGGCAGCACCGGGACAACGGAAGATGAAGGACAACCTTCCATACCGGTTGAGAGAGACATCGACGAAGCCATTGACGATCAGCAGCCAGAATACAAAGAAAAGAAGCAACCCAGGACCGGCAAGGAAGACATTCCATCTTTTGATGGGACCACGTCCATGCGAGAGTACCGTCGCAGGGTGAAGTTGTTTGAGAGCGTCACCGGCATTGACAAACCGTATCGCGGAGGACGGCTCTTGGAGAAGCTCAGTGGCCAAGCTTGGAAGGCAGCAGAGACTTTGGAGATCGAGGCTTTGCGGACCGAGAATGGCGTGGAGGTGCTGCTCAACCATTTGCAGTCCGAGCTGGAGCCTATTGAGTACTTGCGCACTTTCGAGGTGCTCAATCACTTCTTTAAGACCTTCAAGCGGCAGCGTGGCGAGGAGATGACCTCTTACGATACTTCTTTCCGTGTACAATGTGAGAAGTTGAAGGAAGTAGGAACTGTGCTCGAGGGCAGCGCCAAGGCATGGTGGTTCCTGGAAAAAGCCAACATCGGAGACGACCTCAGGCAGAAAGTCGTCACCGCAGCGAACGGCGACTACGAGTACAACAAGCTTCGTCAAGCTTTGGTCGCCATAGTGCCGAACAGCCAGAAGGTTGATGACAGCACGGCTTCTACCAGCGCCAGGCCGACGCACAGTGCCAGAACATGGCAGCGGGGCGGTAAGGGCAGCTCCTTCAAAGTGAACGCTGTGGTTGAAGAACACGGTGAGTCCGAGGGTTTGCAGGCTGGCGAAGAGGACGATGCCATATCAGAAGCTGGGCTCCTGGAGCGTGAAGCCGAGGTGTTGGTAACTCAAGCTGCCAAGAAGCGGGCCCAGGTTGAAAAGGCAAGGGGTTTTCAGCAGGTCGAGACGCCAGCAGACAGGACCAAAAGGATCCAAGACCTGAAGAAACGTCTACCGTGCTCTGCTTGCAAGGCCAAAGGCAGGATGGTGTACGGCCATTGGCATTCGGATCCGGAGTGTCCCGAGAACAAGTCCAACAAGAGCACAAGTGGTACCTTTGTGACGTCCCATGCGTCTTCCGACGACGATGAAGAGGACGACATGGAGGCTGCCTACATGGTAGAGGGTACAGGCCTCGTCATGGCCACGAGTCACCAACTCAGAGCACAGAGCCGTGGGCTGGCGCTCTCTGACACTTGCTGTGCACGCACAGTTGCGGGCGAGCGCTGGGTGGCGCGACACTTGGAGGTGCTTGATGGACGGCAGGCTGAGTACAAAATCGTGAAGGAGCGTGAGCCTTTCAGGTTTGGAGGAGGTCCTAAAGTCTTCTCCAAGTTTGCAGTCATCATTCCCCTCATGATCCATGGGGCCGACACAGTTCCATACTTGCGTGTCAGTGTGGTCGCCGAGGATGTGCCACTTCTGGTAAGTCAGCCAGCATTGCGCTCTTTGGGGATGGTCATGGATTTGGTCGGAGGTGTCTTCAGCTTCGCAGCATTGAACGCCCCAATGGTAGAGCTCATTACCACGGACACCGGGCACGTTGGGTTTGACATCGTGAAGGCGACTTCCGCTGGTAGCGCACAGCCAGATTGGGGCGAGATCCTCCACATCGACAGCGAAGTGTGGATATCGTCAAGGACGGGGTCAGACAGTAGGGTGTTTGCCGCTCAAGTGGACAATGCGGGTACTCTCACTTCCCAAGTTGATAGCCTGAGACCGCAAGATTGGGGTGAGAGTCTGCGTAGTAAGCGAGTTACTTGGCGATCGCCTTTGACTGATCCGTGTGAAGTTTTGTCGGATTTTGACACGTCTTGGCTCGAGACCGACCATAATCTTCCTGATCGATCTCACGGACCCGATCATCCTCTTGACCTTCGTGACCATGTCCTCCGTGACAAAGGTGGGAGCTCCCCGTGTGAAAGCCGACTACGTGGCCCGCATTGCGGAACAGTCGCAGCTCGAGCCTGCCGACCTGGACAAGATGACAGTGGATCGGCTCAAGGAGTTGTGGCGAGTGATGAAACCCCCCAAGACATCTCCTGTGTTGGAGGTAGGGTGGAAGAAAAAGGACAAGGCAGGGCTACTTCAGATCTACGTGGAACAGGTGATCCCATGGTATGGCCTCCAGAACGACGGCCATTGGACGAAGTACTCTCGAGCGAAGTTTATCGTGGAGATCGAGAATTGGGTCCTCGAAAAGCAAGAGGAGCAAAAGATCACCGGGGGGTGCCAGGAGAACACCACGCCGCTGGCGCCGTATTGCGAGAACTGCCACGTGCCCATGTTGGAAAAGCGGAACCGGCTCACTCACGAAGTGTTCTGGGGATGTCCCGTCTTCCCCGTGTGCCGGGCGACGCTTCCAAAGAATGTGGATGGCAAGCCTGCGGCAATCGTCCAGGCCGCGATGGACAAGAACAAGGGCAAGGGCAAGAACAAGAGCAAGGGCGTGGGGGCGGCCGCATCAACCAAGCGTGGAAATCCGCAATCAGAGGACTCTCAGATTTCGTCTTGGGCACCGGTGGCTGGCGACAGCGACTTGGAGGAACTCGAAAAGGACAGCGAGCGGAACATGAACATGAACTTGTCGAAGGAGGAACTCGCGCTGATCATGAACCTCAGGTCCAAGTCGAGTCGTCAGTGAAAGAGCCGGTGGGTGCCCTGGTGCGCGATCCGGAAGAGCTGCGGCAGGTCATCCGAAGGCGCCAAGATCGCGAGAAGGTCATGCGACAGGGCACTAGGAAGCGGCTAGTTGGAAATATCCGACACATTTTTGGAGTGTTTGCTGTGACCTTGGCATCACTCAACGCGCAAGTTGCAAGCGGGGCTTTGTCAGTAGCGAAATTTGGCACGGACCGCCCTGACGTTGTAGAAGTTTGTGCTGGATGTGAAATCATGTCCAAGCACTTCTCGCGTTGGGGCTGGTGGAGTTTATCGCCAGTTGAGGTCAATTTGGGTGGTTCGTGTGATGATATGAGCATGATTGTTGATAGAGTTGATTGCAGCCGGCCTAGATTAGTTGTTGTGTCATGCCCTCCAGAGGTTATGCAGTCGAACAAGCAGGGACTCAGAGCTCGCGCGGAGTGGTCGCAGATCGCTAGTGAGTTGTTTGTCAGACAGACGCAACGAGGTGATGAGGCCCTGATCATGGCGCCGTGTGGAGATGTATCTGTTCAGCTTGCACTTGAGCGTACGAACTGTGCCAATGACATTCAAACATGCGTCGCAAAAGGGTGCACAACGAGCAACGGCAAGCCCAAGCGTGCCAACATGTTGTGGCTGTCATCTTCGTATGAGTTGTGTGATGCCATTGCTCGCGAAAGTAGACTGAGCAGACATGCCAGTGACATCAGTGATACTGCTGTTGCCAAAGTTTGTGCACAGACGGTGATCAAAGGGTTTGTTAAGATGCTGAAAAACAAATGCCCTGGGAGAATCTACCGACTGCTAACCGCCGTGCAACGGCGACTGAAAGCTAAGCGTGCTGGAAACACAACGGAGCTCAGATGGAGTGAGCGTGCGGTGAACAGAGCCATGAAACAGTGGGATCATGTTCATACAACCCTTGTGAGTGCCTCATCTCCTCGTCAGGACCAAGACCAAAGCAGCAGCGCAGGTCATGCCCTGAACATTGATGAGCAGCGTGGCAAACGTGTGGAACGCAGCCGTGAGCCAACTGATGGAGATGTGCTTCCGTCAGGGGAGGCGATCAGAGGACCAAGAGTTGTAGGATCAGAAGGTGTGTTCTTTGAAATCCCGACGGGTAGGACCCTTAAGCCCGAATACCAGGCCGCCCTCAAGAAAATCCATATGAACCTCGGACACCCTTCACCTTACGAAATCAAGCGCGTGTTGAGACACGCTAATGCTCACGCAGAGCTGGTAGAAGCTAGCCAATGGCTGCGATGCACCACATGCAGTCACAGTAAGGGCCCAAGGACGCACCGCACGTGCACTGTGCATCCTCATGAGAACCAGTTTTGTGACGAGGTCAAAATTGACTTGTTTCAAATCCACGATGTCAGGGAGAAGGGATTTTGGTGCTTGTCTGTTGTTGATAGGGCGACTATGTTTCATTTAGCTGTGTTGGTTAAAGACCATGCTCCCGAAACATTGTGGAACGCTTTCTTTCAGTGCTGGGTACAGTGGGCTGGGCCACCGAAACGCATTGTTGTTGACCAGGAACGTGGCCTAATCGCAGAAGCTTTTGCTAAGCCTGCTTCAGAGGCAGGGTGTCATGTTGACTCCATTGCGTCGCAGGCACACTGGCAAGCTGGCAAGGTTGAACGGCACAATCAGTTGTTAAAATCAACTCTTCGTAACACAGTCAAGTGTGTGGGCGTGGAAGGTGAAAGCATGATGCGTGTTGCCCTTGCAGAGTCCTGCGCTGTTAAGAACAACATGATACGAGAGTTTGGATTTTCCCCGAGCACCTTGGTGTTTGGAAAAGATGTCAAACAGCTAGGAGAGATACACTGCAATGGCATGCCGTCATCTTTTCACCTAGGTGCCGGTGACGGTGACACTGAGATTGCGCAGCGGATCAGGTGTAGGTATCACGCACGGATAGAATTTATCAAAGCGCAGTCGAAGGACATGTTAGACAAAACGTTACAAAACCGCACACGGAAGGCGCTCCTTGTTGATGTCGGGGATACGGTTTTCTTTTGGAGGGAGGCCAAAACCAAAAAGTCAGCGCGCAAGTTTAGCTGTTGGAACGGTCCTGCCTGTGTTGTAGGAAAACAGAAAAAACAATTGTTGGCTGTCGTTTGGAGGCCGCTGCTTCTTGGTTGCACCTGAACATATTAGGAGCGCTGAGGGAGAAGAGAGACTGTGGGCTGAACCCGAAGTGCAGCTTGCTTTAACTGCTTTGCATCAAGCCAAAGGCAAGATGTTGACGTACGAAGATTTGACCAATCAAAATTCCCAAGATCCCCCAACTGACGAAGATGTGCTGATGGAATCTCCTCATGAGCGTGATGAAGGTGATGGTTGTGAAAGTTCGATTGATCTTGATGTTGGTGATGTCATGGGTGACACGGATATGATGTCTCCTCCTGCTGATGTGCTGCGGTGTGCCACTTCCCCTGGTTGGCATGTCAGCAACGGTGGCAACCCCGTGCTTGTTGATTTTCATGCCTTTGCGTACCGGTCTTGTAGTCCTAAATATGTGAGTCGCACTTTTCCGTTCCGCACGACTTGGGCTAGGACTCCTTTCGGATGGCGCAGGCTTGAAAATGACGCTCGATGGACTGAACTGGAAAACCCGATAGGCCCGCTTCCTGAGGCTCCGGTACGCGCGCTCGTCACCGTGTTTTCTTCGAGATCAAAACGCGACATTGCTCAGGATTCCGTGCCGGAGTGTATCAAAAGACGACGTAGGGCTAATCAAGTGTTGTGGACGCTCGACCGTGGATCAGAAACTTTCGTGGCCAGCAGTGTGAAACTTAAGAGGATGATAGAGAAAGAGATTCCGGAATCGAAGATACCAGCTCATCAGCGGGAAGCGTTCGAACAGGCGAAACTTAAAGAATGGAATTCCTGGGAAGAGTTTGATTCGGTCGAAGTTCTTACTGTTTCGGAGAGTGAGAGGATTGTTCGAGAGTCTCCTGAGAGAGTGTTGCGTTCGCGTTTCGTCTTGCGTGACAAAAATGCCGGTCTTGTGGAGTCTGGCGTTCCGCTCCCGCTCAAAGCCAAAGCCAGACTGTGTGTGCAGGGACAGTACTGTCCTGATAGTTTGTCTGGGAATGTGAAGCTTGACTCACCTACCATCCAGCGCGTGAGCACATACCTGTTTCTGCATCTGGTTGCTTCGTGGGGTTGGGTTCAACAGTTACGCGTTGGCGACATAAGCAGCGCTTTCTTACAGGGTCACGAAAGCAGTGGAGCGCCGCTGTACATGCATCAACCCAAAGGCGGACTCCCCGGGATGCAGCCTGGTCAGATACTGCGCTTGCGTAAGCCTGTGTACGGGCAACCAAACGCGCCGCGAGCTTGGTTTGATGCGTTATCTGATGCTCTGATGAAGGAACTGGGTTTCGAGCGTAGCGTGTTGGACCCAGCTTTGTTTTTCGCTCGCGAAAGTGACGGTCGTTTGATTGGTGCTTTGATTGTTCACGTCGATGATATCATGATTGCTACGGATGGGTCGTGCAAGGCGGAGCGTATGGTTAAACTTTTGCATGAGCGTTTTCCGTTTGGAGAGTGGAGACGAGCGTCTGAAGCTGCAGAGGGCGAGGGAGTGAAGTACTGTGGCAAACGAGTGGTCGTGCGGGGTACTGCTGGGGATGAGTTTTTGGAAGTTCACCAAGACGAGCTTTGCGAAGGAAGACTTGAAAAAGTTCCATTAGACCCTGGTAGGAAAGAATGCCTGCACGAGAGTGTCACTGTCGAAGAGAAGACCAACTTTAGGAGCACTGTTGGTAGCTTGCAGTGGCTGTGTAACCAGACGCGACCTGACATCTCTTTTGAAGTCAACCAGTTGCAAAAGAGGGTTAACAGTTTGAAAGTTGAAGATGTGTTGAGAGTTAACAAGCTCGTTGACGAGGTGAAGAAACACAGACATTGTTTGCAGTTTAGGAATTTGGGCAAAGATGTGGAAGTAACTGTCTACCACGACGCTGCCCTTTTCAACTCAGTAGGCCAAGAGTTGGATGAAGAAGAAGCTCAAGAGATGTTCACGCTGGAGGGTGGAAAGCGATGTGTACATTCCCAACGGGGTTGTGTAGTCGGACTGATCTCAAAAAGCTCAAGCAAGAATGTTGGGGGTGTGCCCTTCGACATTGTCGACTGGAAGAGTGCGACCATTCGTAGGGTGGTCGAATCGTCCTTCGCAGCGGAGACTCAGTCGGCAGTGGCTGCTCACGGCATGGGCCGCTATGTTCAAGCTGCTCTCGGTGAGATGAAGTACGGTAGCTTCATCATAGGAGCATGTGAGGAGGAACAGTGGCAGAGCGTTGTGCCCATGAACATGTGCACTGATTGCAAGAGTGTCTATGACTGCGTTCGGAAGGAGGGTTTGGGTATTAGTGATAAATCGAGTGTGATCTTGGTTACGTTGTTGAGGCAGTTATGTTCTGTTTTTGCCGGTGACAAGACCAAATTGTTTTGGATACCCACTAGATTTCAACTGGCCGATGCTCTCACAAAGAGCGGCTTGGGACGAGCTTTTCGCCTGAATTGCCAAACGGCAACCTTTCATGGCGAAAGTTTGCGTGCGTTGAAACTCGGAAACAGCTCGGTCAAGAAAGAGTTTTCTACCAGTGCGAATTCTGCTTAGTGCTGCTTTGACCGAGCACATCCGAGCATAAAGTCACGCAGCTGAGTTTGTGCAGAGGTCCCCGCGTTCTCACAGAAAGCTTGTAACATCCGCGGGATCTGAAGCCATGCGGTCTCAGGCGTTATGGGAAAAGTCCTGCGCGCAGCATATGAGTAGCAGGTTTTCGGCAGCATCCGCACTAGGTAACTCCCGGGTTTAGAAAAGGAGCCCCCTAAACCCTAAACCCTAAACCCCCGCAGAGGTGCAACGTTCCGCCGAGCCTTGCTTCCAACTGCGTCGCCGTCGCTGCCGGGGGTGCCCACACGCTGCTACCCGCATGGATTGGCATCCTTTGGGTGTTTTCAGCGTTTAGGGTTTCGGGTTTAGGGTTTCGAGTTTAGGGTCAAGGGTTGTTTGTGGTTTAGGGCTTTGTAGGGCGCATCCGGTTTTGGCGTTGATGTGTATCCTGTATCAGTACGGGCAGGTTGGGTTTGGTTTGGGTCGTGCTGTCTTGGCTGAGAAGGCTTCGTGATAGATTACACCACCACCTGATGATCCGATGTTATGAGTTGTTTTTTTTTATCCCTGAACCCTAAACCACACTAACTAGGTGCATAAGAAACCAAGCTACCACCATTAATGGATCCAGGTAGGGTTTTCGTCATCACTGTTCCCTTGTTTTGGGGCTGCATTTCTTCTGGGTGAGTAGGATCCGTTGTTTAACAGGTCCCGCCACAAGACCCTAGCTTGGAACCTCGCCGCAACTAAACGAGCCCCCTTTTTGTCTGTTTGCGGCTGTGGTTCCCCATACTTCGCATAGTACCATACTCTGCGCGACAAGCAACTATGGAGTGCAGGTTTAGGGCTTAAGGATTCAGGGTTAGGGTTTAGGGTTTAGGGTCTAGGGTTACCCCCCGAACCGTTCTCCAGAATGGAGGGCTTGGGAGGGGGTTGGAGTCCTAGAGAGCGAGCCAAGATGCTGAGTTGTGCGCAAGCTTCCCTGACTTCCGTGTGGAAAGTCGAACCATAAGCTGGAAAACATAGCTGTCCCTCCGATCTGCTTTGCCTGTGGGGTGTTTCGTCGGTCAATGACTGAGGTTCTCGTTGCGAGCTGACAGGAAAGAATCTTGCACTACTATCGCTGAAAACAGGTCCTTAGAAGCAGGTCCTGTTTTCATCAGTGCGGTTCCTTCGCGGAAGCTCCATTGAAGCTCCTCACCCGTGGACAGAAGCCTTTTGATGGGATTGATCTAGAAACACCAGCGACCACACTTCAAATGCCCTATACGCCGAGTTACACCCGAACAAAAACACGAGAAGCCTTTCACATCCTAAACCCCGCAAGCGCCGACGCCCCTCACAGACATCCTATCGTTGCTCCGAGTTTGTAGTTCAGAAGCGTAGAGTTACAGGGTTTGGGGTTCAAGGGCTTCCTAAACCCCAAGCCCCAAACCCTAAACCCTAAAACCCCAAACCCTAAACCCTAAACCCTAAACTTTCAGGCTGCTCTGTAGCGATGGCCGGGCTGTGCTTTTTGGCGACGACAAGGTCGGTGCTCTTTGCATGGGACTCCGACTGCTGGTTGCTTGGGGCCGTCTAAAACCTCTAAACCCTAAAGCCCTAAACCTTAAACCCTAAACCCTAACCTCTAACCCCTAAACCCTCAGTCCCAAAAGCCTTCAACTCCTCAATCTCAAGCCTGGCACATGGCTCAAGCCACCCAGGCTACGTACGCTCGCTGCCCGGATTCCCCCCGCCATGGCTTCCTCCGACTCTGAGTTTGTCCCAGAGGGCGAGACGTTGAGGGCTTTGCTGAGGCCTGCTCTGGCACACCGAGGCGTGCAACCCACACAAAGCAGTCATGAAGCTAAACCAATAGATACCTTTTGAGACAGAGGCGAAGCCGAGAGGAGAGCTATTCCAGCGCAGTAGAACAGAAGATTCCTGAGAGGTCTTTTGCAGGGGTGAAGCTCGCGCCGTCGCACCTCGGCGTCACGGAGTCCAAGAGGCCCTGGAGTTACTTGGCTTGCCACTTGTTGCAGTCAGTTCCGGTGACGGTGAAAGACGCAAACAGAGAGTGCATGGACAGCCGACGCATTGCAATGTCATGCAGAGGGAGGTAGATACCAGTGGGGGTGGGGGGAGGCTAGATCAATCTTAGGCGGCCGCCCGGATTTGTTTCGGTGTGCTTCGGCAAAGATAGCTGCTATGCTGTGGTTGGTTCCACAAAAAGCGTTGTCTCACTCGTTTTGCAAAGACAATCTTACTGCAGGGAGTCAATGGACCATAGGAGGTATATAAATCCAACAAGATCGCATTTGTCCCCCTACAAGCTTCCGTCCTTAAAGACGCGCCCCAAGAAACCCACTTCGCCGGCTTGTGTTCTTCGATAGCTACTATGGCTGCCGAGCGGCCGGATCAGGGGCAGGCCTGTTTTGCAGAATATTGAAGGTCAGTCTTCTAATTTTACATAACTTCAACAAGCCTCGGGAGACATCGGGGTGCTCCTCTGTTTTTATTGTTATCGTGAAGGGTAGTCAAGAAGCCGTGCTACCGTCACGTTGGGGCCATCACATAATATAATCTTCAGAGCTTGCTGCGCAACCCATGTCCACTATTCTGTTTTCTCCCCCTTCCTCCCAGAAACTTATCCTCTACAAGCCTGACGTCCACCAAGAAGTTTGCGCCGCGCTGAGTATGGTGCCCCTGCTTGAGGACACGGCCTTGGAAAGCCTGTGTGCCGGCTTCCCAGCTTCTTCACACTGTTGCTTCTGGGAGCTCCGGCAATGCGATCCCCTCGAACTTTTTAGCAGCTGCTGCCTTAATTCGTGTCTCCTGCAGGTTGTGAGCACCGGGAAGCGACAGCTCCGCAACGTCTTGCTAGAGTACCTGTCTGCGAACTCGTCCGACGAAGGTTCACTAGCTTCTGCACTGATTCTGCACCTCACCTGGACCTATGCAAGCTTAAACCTCTGAATCAAAGCACCCTTCGCCCCAGCCAAGAGGTCTTCCTCAAGCGATATTTGTTCTGGTCAGGCAAGTTCACAGAGAGCTGGCTCTGCTTTCCGTGAGCCGGGTGAATGCGCTGCTGGAGCGGCTGCGTGTTTTGGAGAGCGGCGATTCTCCGAACCTTCAGGAACTTCAGGCAAGTGGAGGTTCTCCTCGAGAAGCTTCGCGCTCGAGAATCAGTGCAAGATGGCTGAATCAGTGAGGGACTCGTTTGATGCAGAGTTTCTTTTGGGTCTAGGGCTTAATGGTCTGACAAACCCGAGCATAAGGAGTGCCGTCGAGCAGTGTGCTACCGGCAGACTCGCAACCAGTTTAACTGCCGCAGCTGTTTGCGAGACTTCGATAGAGGAGAGTGGGGCATGGTCGCCTCGCTTGGCTTTGATGATCGTCCTGTCCACCTGCCGGGCGGGATCTGCGTCTCCGCCTGGTCTCAAAGAATTCCTGGACAAGGCTTCCAGGGCTAGGGTCGGAGTAGTCTGCGACATGTAGCGAGCCGAATTGTGCGCAGACAAGAGGCATGTGCAAGCTTCTCCCAGACTTGAGAGAGCCCTTTACTTTCCAAACGGACTGACAGGTATCCTGGGCGCTCTTGGCCCAGCAGCGTCTTCCGCTATGAAGAGACAACGTCGCTCGAAACTCGAAACCTTGACTGATGGTTGGAGTTTAACCCTGCGTGCTCGGGGCCCTCGCGGCTTCCGTGTTTCGGAAACAGCTGGACACAAGATCCCCTACTGCACAGCCCCAAAGCCTTAAAAGCCCCTACCTTCAGAACCCCTAACGCCCTTAGACCCGAAAATGCCCTAATTCTTCCAAAGCCCTACAGCCCTTAACGGAAGGGGCAGGGCGGGCTATAGTAACTCTAAACAAGCCGAGGGGCTTAGGGGTTTCCTCGACCACCCTGACCCTTCTGTTATATGCCGCCTTGCAAAGTTCAGGGTTATAGGGCTTTACGGTAGGGGAATCCCCAAAGAATCAGTCAGTACTGTTCCCTTGTACCCCTGTTCTAGTTACACTGTGAGCCATCGAGAGTGCCCATACTCATACAAGGCCCCTACATGAAGGGATTGCCAGCAATACTCATCTCCGGATTCCTAAGACTAGGCCCAGTGTGGCCCTCTTGTCGCTTGAGGTAGAGAAGCGGTACTCACATTCTGATATGGGGAAATCACTCTTTTGAATTCGCGGCAACAACATATGATCCCAAATATTCTAACTTTCATAGACAGAACCGAGGATGTCCTCTAGGCGAGTGGGGAGATGTCGATGGTGATTGATGTTCACCCTGCCAGTGTGGACAGTGCTCGCCGCCGGACATCCTGGACCATCTGGGCTGCCTCGCCTCCGCCACAGCGCGGGCCGTGATCGTCGCGACACTCTGGGTCGAGGAGGCCCTATGTAATCCCTTAAAGGGTATCTATATATATATGTGTGTATAAATAAGAATCACGGGGGGCTTGCAAGCATGGCCCTGGAGTCTCGGAAGCAGCCATGAGCCGTCATATCGGTGAGCATGTGCATGTAGGGTTAAGGGGTCATCATTCCATTGAGGCTTCAAGCCCTTAAATGCAATATGACTGTAGCTGCGGCCATGGCCGATGTGGGACGGTCTTTCGTACGCGCACTTCATCCGTAAACCCTATACCTGGGTCTCGCCAGGGTACCACGCAAAGACCGACGCAAAGTTGTGGTCCGTCTTTGGGCCGGAGCCTTCTCTTTCCGGTAAACGAGCCCAAAATTTAGAGTAAAATTTAGAGGAAAATCTGCCCGCATGCAGTATGTTGACGTAAGCCCCCCATGAACGTGACGCCTTGTAAAGGATGCCGCCAAAACTAAGAATCCTGTGTGTAGTTCATCTTCCAAGATCTTAGTCCTAGGGCCCCTAAACCCTAAAACCTGAACCCTAAACCCTAAACCCTAAACCCTTAGTCTTAGACCCTAGAACCATCTAGAACCTGAATCCTACCCCTTAAAGTATCCGTTGAGCCCGATGGCGCAATGAACAAATTGGCAGGGTGCCCTCGTCGCCCGATGTGCCTCCGGCGCGGCCGTCAACACCCATGGCCTGAGCCAGGTGGGGTTCACCAGTTTAGGGTTTAGGGTTTAGGGTTTAGGGTTTAGGGGTCTGAGCCAGGTGGGGTTCACCGGTTTAGGGTTTGGGGTTTAGTGTTTAGATGGTCTGAGCCGAGCCAGGTGGGGTTCACCGTTTTAGGGTTTAGGGTTTAGATGGTCTGAGCCAGGTGGGGTCTCGCCGGTCAAGGGCTTAATTTGGGTGAGATTTTGGGATATGGCCACTATTGGGGGATGTCGGGGGGGGTGGGGGGGGGGTATTTTTGCGGGGTGTGGTCCAGGCAACAGCATGGACTTGGGCCACGTTTCCCGGATTTCCTGAAACGCCAGCCACGTTTCTCTGATTTCCTGAAACGCCAACACCGTGTGCCATCTTCCCACAGGAAGCCCCCCAAGGTAACACCAAGACACGTATCTACCGTAAATCACCTTTGGCACCTACACCCTATAAACCTTCAACCCCTGAAACCCTAAACCCTAAACCTCCAAACCCCCTAAACCCGAAACCCGAAACCCTAAACCCTCACTTTGAACCCCCCGAGCCCCTCCTTAAAGCTCTACATGCGGGGCCTCAGGACGCAACTCTGTCGGAGGCTGGGGGCTGCTTGGCGCGGGGTCAGGATGAGGGTGCAATCATCGACCCCAACCTTAGCCCCTAAATTGAACCCTATGCCCTAAACCCTTAACCCTTAACACCCTTGACCCTCTACACCCTAAACCCTAAACCCTCAGCAAGCCTTCGGCCTGCATTGTCTATGCCTGCCCTAAAATCCCAAAGCAAACCCTCGACATGGCCTAAACTCTCAAGCCTCTGGGCTCAGTATTTAAGACTCGGGGAGTCTTGTTGTCACAGCCATATCGGGTGCAGTTGGAAGCCATGGAAGCTTAGACTGGTGCCCGCCCCCTGCTGTCTTCGTTCGAACTTGGGGTTCAGTGAGGTCTCTTAGGTTTCCCTTTTATGTGCCGCCCTGTACTACTCATTGCTTCAGAACCCCGAAAAAACAGCAAACGTTCTTGCTTATTAAGGGTAATGTGGGATTATTATTTGTTATTCTTTTTGGGGTCGTAAGCAAATAGTAGTGCATGTAATGTGCAAGGCATCCTGTCTTCGCTTGGGCAAGCCACGCCAACTTCTTAATGTCAGCGGCGCATGCATGCTGTAGGCCTAGCATCGTAGATTTTCCCCAAGGATGCCCAAAGTAACTGCCAGCATTATCCTCGTGTATTATACCGTGAACTCTGAAGCCTCGATCCTAAACCATCCGAGTTTATTAAGCAGGCCCTTACATTCCATTGAGATTTTCAGCCTTCAACGCCTCAGCCCTGATGTAGGGCTGTACCCTACACCCTAAACTTAGGGTGCAGCTTTTTGACGTGTTCTGATGCAATTGCGTCCCCAAGCTGCCTAAGTACCCGGAATACCTTACATGCCTTCAGCCTGAACTATCACTAGGTATCCTAGTGGTGCCCTTTTCCCTCTGGTAAAGTAACCAACACAAAAAGAAGGGCGCCCTTTGTTAAGATATGGCTACTGGGCTACCAAGATCCCAGACATCTAACCACCCTAAACCCTGAACCCTGAACCCTGAACCCTAAACCCTAAACCCTAAACAGGGCCCTTCGGCATGTGGTCGTTGATGGGGCAGGTGAGGCGGCGCGTGGCATCGCGCAGGAGACTCAGATGGAGCCAGGTCGTTGACAAGGAGGGGCCCCCTTACTATACTAACTATAGTGAAGGGACTTAGAACCGAATTGAGGATCCTTATAACCCAATTTAGGGCCCTTGTAACTCTACTTATAACCTGGGGGCTCCTTTGTGCAGTACGATTTGCCCCAAACCTAGCCCAAAGCTTCCCCCTGAACCTTCCCCTGACCAAATTCCCTTTTGCCCCAGCCCAAACCCCCTAAACCCTAAACCCTAAACCCTAAACCCTAAACCCTAAACCCTAAACCCTAAACCCTAAACCCTAAACCCCCTAAACCTTAAAAACCCTAATCCTTGACTCCTGAGGTTTGAAGGTGCCGCCGGCGCAGCTGAAGTTGGTGAAGGGGGATGGCGCCTTGCTCGGCGTGGTGGAAGATGACAAGGCGTCCCCAAGGTTAGGGTTTAGGGTTTAGGGTTTAGGGTTTAGGGTTTAGGGTTTAGGGTTTAGGGTTTAGGGTTTAGGGTTTAGGGTTTAGGGGGTCTACGGTCTACGATTGGAGCTTAATTTAGAGTTTAGGAAAGTTGAGGGTTTAGGGTGAAGGGTTTTAACGTGTCGATACGTGCCTTCCAGTGTCGAGCTCGCTTGAGTTGTTCTTTTGGCTTTTGCGGTGGCGTGGGGGGGGCAAGTTTGGCATTGGATCAATGCATGAAGGGCTACACATGTTCTTTTTTGGGTTCCCGCAAGCACTGGATTATGTGAAGTTCTTTTGCAGGCGGCAGAGCGCAGTACAAACCTTGAGGTTGTGCGGCATCATGCTGCCTCAATTGCAGGCTCGAGCACTGTGATTTCTTGAGTGTTCTGTTGTGTGCGAAGCTCTCATACCAATGGCTTCCAAGGCCATCGTGATCATTTTCTCCTTGCTGGTTGTTGACCCGGCTTGCGCAACGCGCATGCGGGACTCCGATTCCAGCACGGAAGGATGCAAGCTGAACCACTCACCATGTGGCTACGCCCGCTGCTACAGCCTCCACTGGCCTTCTGCAAAGGGAGCCAAGGAATGCTGCGCACAGAAGGGGTACACCGTTTGCATGAAAAACTACGAGGAAGGCGTCGGCAATTATTATGTGAAGCCTGACGAGATTGGCAAGTGTGGCAATGATGCAAAGTACGAAGCGCCAGATTCAGCTTGCGAGGAGATGGTGAGCTGGGACGTCCGCGCCGGCAAAATCGTGAAGAAGCACATTCCAACGTTGGACGAGGAGGACGAGGACGAGTGAAGCCCTCCCGTCTAGCTGTGTGAGGCCGACGGAAGGCCATTCGAGGAAAAAGGACCCTCAACCTTGATGACCCCAAGCCCCAAGCCTTAAACTCTAAACAGCTCTAAGCCCGAAACTCCAAATCCTCAACTGCAAGCCCTAGAGACCTTACCCACGAAGCCCTTGTAATTGCAGGTTAGGGTTCAGACTGAGTCCAAGCCATCAGACTCCACAACGCCGCCTAAACGCTTAGGGTTTAGGGTTTAGGTTTCAGGGTTTAGGGTTCAGGGTTCAGGGTTTAGGGTGTAGGGTTTAGGAATATATGGTCCCTTGGTATGGTTCGTGACCTTCCTTTAAGGGTTCCGATGTATGTATGGGCCCTTGGCTTGTATAGGGTATGTAAGGGGTAGGATAGGGGTCCCCTTTTAAGGTTTAGGGTTTAGGGTTCAGGGTTCAGGGATCATGCAACTACCTTCAGAGTCAGAGGCCACCGAAACCCAACGAAGCCTTGCCCCCCCTCCTACATTCTAAACCCTAAGCCCTAAGCCCTTTTAAACCCTAAACCCTAAACGACAGCCCTCTGCCAGGAGGTGTTTGCTCTCCTGCGGGGCGCCGACCTGGATACTGGCCTCGATGCAGATCGAAAGCCAGAGGATTAAGGTTTAGGGTTTAAGGTGTAGGGTGTAGGGTTTAAGTTTGTCTGTTTCATGTTATACGTGGTTCTACGGCAATGATCCGTTAGTGCACAGTGAGCTCGGGCATAGGTTAGAAGCCAGATGGCGTCCGTTCAATGTCACAGTCGATGCCCCAAGCCGTACCCCCCAAACCGTACCAGGTTCAGGGCTAATCCCTAAAGTGGTCGGGTATCTCCCATGCACCTGTTGCTCATCTCTCTAAAGGTCCATGTACTTATATGGTGCATGCTTAGGCTTTAAGGCTACCATGTAGGAACCCCTTCAAGGCCCAAGTAGCTACGACATAGGTACCTGGACCCTTTGGGTGTCCCGAGCTCCGCAGATGGGACTGGATGGGCCCCGCATCGTTCCACGCTTGGAAAAGCTATGTCACCCACTTCGGCCGTGGATCTTGGTCGTGCTCTTAAAGTATACAAAATGTACCATGCTAGAACTGAGATTGAACCCTGCTAGAATAGAGACCCCAAAAGTGGGCTTATGACTTTGTGTACATCAGCATATATGCCCCTCTTGATATGTATGGTGCCACGATCTTCGCACTTCCTGATCTCAGGGCATGGTTTACCTTTGGAAAGCCCATGTGGGTTACCTAAGCATCCTAATCGGCAGTCATGCCTCTTACCTTTAACATCTTCAACTACTCAGGTAGGACGAAAGTTCGACCCACGACCCAGAGGCATCAGCACACAGGCAAGCATGGCAAGGCCAAGGCCCCCATCCCCCTTTTCACTTCTAGCACACCAAGGCTCCCCCCCTTACAAAATAGCGTAATCTGTTTTTGTTCGGGTGGATAGATTTCTCCGCTGGGCGGGCTATGTTAAATCCACATGCGCGCGACTCCGCGACTCCGCAACACGTTCAGGTCTTGGTAGGTGGAAACTTTAGTCCTGTCCATGTATGGGGGTGTTATATGAAAAAAGAGCAGGTTTTTGGGTCTTCAGGTGGGTGAAGGATGCTCCGCGCCCCTGCTGTTAGCAGGCAGCGTCTCGGATAGCTGACTTTGACGAGGAGGACGCCGAAGCCTGGAACCCTGATCCCTAAACCCTAAACCCTAAACCCTCAGCCCGGCCTAACCCTTGCGCCTACTTTGTGTAGTTGAAGGGCTTGCTATTGCTATATACGAGTAGTTCTCTAAATTAGGTTCCCTTTTGGGTCCCATATAGTATCTCATCGTATAAAAGCAACCACGAAAGGGGTCCTGATTTAGAGAACTGCCCAGAAAGTAGCTTTATGGCTCAACCCTATGCTATTTGGGCACCCTAAACCCTATGCAGAACCCGATAAACCTACAAACCCTGAAACCTTATAAACCCTAGAACCCCTGAACTTTAGAACCCAAAACCGTATAAACCGTACCACCCCTCAACCTTATAACCGCCAACCTTATCAACCTTGCAACCCCCCCAAACCTTATAACCCTAAATTATCGGCCCCATAACCCCCCAACCTTATAACCCTAAACCTTATCAGCCCTCTAACCCCGCAGCCCTAAACCCTAAACCCCCAAACCCTAAACCCTAAACCCTAAACCCTAAAAAGAGGATCTGGCGCGCCTCGCCTGGGCCTATGCTTCGCTAAACCTGGCGCCCCCCGAGCTGACGAGGCCCCAAGCCCTGAAGAATGTATTCTGCGGGGGGGGGGGGGGTTTAGGGTTTAGGGTTTAGGCTTTAGGGTTTAGGGTTTAGGGTTTAGGGTTTAGGGTTTAGGACTGAGGACTTAGGGTTTAGGGTGGAGTTTAGCGTTCAGGGTTGGTAGGGCCCAGATGTCTGACACGTTTGCACATTGCAGGGTGCTTAAGCACAGAGCAGAGTAGGCAAGCCCAATCAAGTGTCCCTAATAACCGAGTACTGGAAGCTCCAAAAGGCCCACAGCTTAGATAACTGCCGATTTAGGGTTCAGGATTTGGGGTTCAGGATTTAGGGTTTAGGATTTAGGGTTTATGGTTTATGGTCTAGGATTTAGGGTTTAGGGTTTAGGATGTAGGGCCTGTTTCAAGGTCGGTGGGTTCCTGCAGAGTAGGCTTCTAAGGGCTAAGCACGTGTGTCATTCCAGCCAAGCAATCGCCCTGAGCCCATGTCCTTTGCTTCAGGCTCCTGGTTGAGGAGGCTGGCAGGGGCAGTAAAGTAGGGTTTAGGGTTTAGGGTTTGGGGTTTAGGGTTTGGGGTTTGGGGTTTGGGGTTTAGGGTTTAGGGTTTAGGGGGTTTCGGTGCAGGAGTTGCTTGCGTCGAAACTACGCCGTGGGTATATGGGGGGATGTGGGGGATATGTGGTGATATGGGGAGGGGGGGTACGTGGATGCTGGCACTATGCTAGTAAGTTCAGGGCCCCTCCCTTTTTGACCTTATGTACGTACTTCCATTTCTCTGGGCCATAGACACCGAACAATTGCCATTTTGGGTTTGGGGCATATTAGGGTTGTGTCCAAGTTACTTTTCGGCATATGCTTGTCTTCGGCATCTGCGGGAGTGGCTCGGGTTTCGGGTTTAGGGTAAACAAGAACCCACCGTTCAAAAGGCAATAGTGATTCGTGGCAGTTGTCTTGCTGGAAACAAACATCTTGCTGAAGCAAACAAAGAGCAATCAGCCCCCCCTCCAAATGAGCCAGCATAAAGGACATGTCCCATAAACCTGCAATCAAGGCCAACATGAAGGGCACTACCCTAAATCCTAAAACCCTCAAACCCTGAACAGGACGTGCTTGTGGAGGTCTAAAGCCGAAACCCGAAACCCTAAACCCTGAGCCCTGAACCCTGAACCCTGAACCCGAAACTCCTTGTAACCACGACATAAGCCAAACCCCATGGGAAACCGCTTGGCTGCACTTCATGGCTCCGGAGGGCCTTGGGACCTATTTAGTGTTTAGGGTCTCACCTAAAGTTCCCTAACATGCCCTACTACTCACTCAGGCTCCCTATGCTTTTCTAAGGTTTTCTATGGAACCGCCCTCCCTTAAGAACCCTACAGTTCTAGATTCAGAGAGCACTGGGGGCTTTACTTAGGTACTGGGTAGGCATCCCTCAACCTATAAGGAGTCGTACTATGCATAAGGGGTTAACCTTTCTGGGGCTAGGCTATTCAGCCCCGAAGTTCTAGGGTTTCAGATTCGATGTTGCAAAGTTCTAAGTTGCAAGGTCATGGTTTGGAACGTGGGGCTTCTAGCCCGTGCCAGTAAAGCTGTTGAAGAATCTGTGGTGGCCATGCTGTCCGTTCGGATGATGGCTACTGGCCGAGAGGTGGCTCGAGTCGGCATAGCGGAGCTGCTGCTGCAGACTGGGGAAGAAAATGGGACGCCTGACGTTCTTGCTTTGAAGCGGCACCTCCACACGATCTGCGGCGTGCCCCGCTTTCGACAGCGAGTCCTGGACCAGGATGGGCATATGTTGCCTGATGATTTCAAAATCACAGCACCCGGCTCCGTGCAACTAGTTCTGTTGGAGTTTGCAGAGCCTGGTTTATACAACGCTGCAACCCTGATGCAGGCTCTACGACAAAACCAGGTATGGCAAATGGAGGCCTTCCTACAGAGCCCGCAGGATCCCAACTGGGTGATTGAGGGTTGGCCAGCCTTGCATTTTGCAGTAGAGGCTGGCCACAGAACGGCTGCACAGCTCTGGCTTGAGGCTGGCGCGGATGTAAACCATGCTGATATGCGCAATGGGACCACGGCTCTCATGCTGGCAGTGGGCAATCGCAACTTGGACATGATACGCTTGTTGCTGGTCTCCGGCGCGGACAAGGACAAAGCCACGACAGCAGGAGCAACACCGCTGATCCTGGCAGTGTCCGGCGGACATTTGGAACTGGTACGTTTGTTGCTGGTCTCCGGCGCGGACAAAGACAAAGCCACGAGAGCAGGAGTAACACCTCTTTTCCTGGCAGCGGCCGGCGGACATTTGGAAATGACACGTTTGTTGTTGGACTCCGGAGCGGACAAGGACAAAGCCACGACAGACGGAGCAACGCCTCTTTTCGAGGCTTCGTCCGGCGGGCATTTGGAAGTGACACGTTTGTTGTTGGACTCCGGCGCGGACAAGGACAAAGCCACGACAGAGGGAGCAACACCTCTGATCCTGGCAGCGCAGCGCGGTTGTTTGGAAGTGCTGCGTTTGTTGTTGGACTCCGGCGCGGACAAGGACAAAGCCACGACGGACGGAGAAACGCCTCTTTTCGTGGCAGCGTCCCTCGGGCATTTGGAAATTACACGCTTGTTGCTGGACTCCGGCGCGGACAGAGACAATTTCGTATAGCAAACCATCAGGGGCACCAGGGAGTGGCCCGCTTGTTGCATACCAAGGCCACCAAGGCCAAGGCCACCAAGGCCAAGGCCACCAAGGCCAAGGCCACCAAGGCCAAGGCCACCAAGGCCAAGGCCACCAAGGCCAAGCCCAAGCCCAAGGCCAAGGCCAAGGCCAAGGCCAAGGCCAAGGCCAAGGCCAAGGCCACCAAGGTCAAGGCCAAGGCCAAGCCCAAGCCCAAGCCCAAGCCCAAGCCCAAGGCCAAGGCCAAGGCCAAGGCCAAGGCAGTCCTCAAGAGGCTTGGCAGGAAGTGAATTCGAAGAACTACCCTTTCATTGGGGCTGCAGTGTCGGATGTATGTGTCTACAGGCAATTGCTGGAAGTCTCCAAACGCAGCTTGCGGGTAGACATGGGGAAGCATGAGTCCAAGACACGTTGTTGCAGTTTGTCTAGGTAGGCTCTTGGGATATTTTGTCCGTCCCCCTCTTGGGTCTAAGAGGAATCCGTTTGGAGGCTTTGTAAGGGCAATCCTAGTTGTAGACCCTGGTTGGATTACTTGTGGCATGGGTGAAAGGTATACCTAGTTTAAGATTTATCTTGACCTCCAAGCGAGATTGGCCTTCACACTGGCTATAGAAGGCCTTCACACTGGCTATAGAAGGCCATGGTCATGCGCACAGTGTAGTTTTTTTTTCGAACCCTCCCTGGAAGAAGTTGTGGTTCCTTCTTTGAGGTACCTATTTCCCCACTCTAAAACTCGGTACCGCGCAAAAGAGGCCACGATTAAGGGCCCAGGTAAACCTCTGCCACTTCGAGCGTTGGGGGATCCGGGTAACGTGGTGGGCTTGACGGATAGCACGGCTCCAGGAGAGCATCCGGCATCCCCACTTGGTAGCCCAGTGGTACCCTTCTCCCGCTTTTTTTGGGGTCAAGGTTCCCCTATAAATGAACCAACCAAAAGAGGGTGCCCTTATTTTATTCTGGTTACTGGGGTACCAAACCCAAATCCCTTAGTTCCAAGCCCTTTAAACGTTAGGACGTCCCAAAGGGCCTTGTATCAAACCCTATGCGCTTCTTTGTGGGCTCTTTGGATATCTTTTGTATTCCCTTGTTGGGGTTAAGAGGATCTTATGAAGGAGTCTGTTTCAGAGGGCTGCAAGGCCCAGCAAGACCACACACTTCCTAAAGGAAGCACCCAAACCAACTCCCCACCCCCCCACCCACCCAAACCCCAAAACCACCCTAAAACACCCTTAGACCATTCTCAACCCTCAACCCTCAACCCTCAGCCCTCAGCCCTCAGCCCTCAACCCTCAACCCTCAACCCTCAACCCTCAACCCTCAGCCTCAACCCCAGCGGCATGGGCCCCATCCTGTGAGGCATCGAAGCGCGCGGCACCATCCCGAGGCACTTCTAGGGTTTAGTGGCTTAGTGGTTTAGGGTTTGGGGTTTAGGGGTTTAGGGTTTAGGGTTTAGGGTTTAGGGTTTAGGGTTTAGGGTTTAGGGTTTAGGGTTTAGGGTTTAGGGGTGGTTTAGTTTGGGATGGTCCCCCTTATACTAGCAGTCCTTAATATATTCAGGACTGTTAGGATAAGGGGGAACATCCCAACCGGTTTAGTGGTTTAGGGTTGAGGGCCTAACTTTTGGGATTAGGATTTAGGGCTTAGGTTTTGGGGTCAGTGTTTGCTCAGGTTTTGTGATTGAGTGGTGTAGGGCTTAGGCTTTTGGGGTTTAGGGTATAGGGCTTAGGGCTTGGGGTTAGGGCTTAGGGTTTAGGACTTAGGGTTTATAGGGTTTAGGACTTGGGGTTTAGGGTTTAGGGTTTAGGGTTTAAGGGTTGTAGGGTTTTAGGGTTTTAGGGTTTTAGGGTTTAGGGTTTAGGACTTAGGGTTCCATCCTAGGGTTTGGTTGTTTAGGGTTAGGGCTTCGGTTTTGGGGTTTAGGGTTTAGGGTTTAGGTTTCTGAGGGCACCTGATGTGCGGAGGTCCATCGCCTGCTCCATCGAGAGACAGGCCACAGGGAAGCTTCGTAAAAGCGACTGGGCTGCGGTGTTGTGAAAGCATCGCATCGCAAGAGCACACAAGAAGATGCCCAAACAGCCCCATATCCATTCAGCAAGGAACATGCCTTAGATCAGATGAAGGATTCCTATAGAATTTAGATATGTTCCTTAACAAACGGGTATTGGGCTCTGGGTGGTTCAGCCCGACTCCCAATAGCCTCCCGTTCACAGGAGCCGGCCGCCGACGGAGGCTTCCGAGATGTGTCAGGGCTCTGCGCACCCCTTACACGTCAAGTGGGGTTTCCGAAATTCGGAGTACCTTGCTTGGGGTCCTTAGTATGTATAAAGGAAGCCTATTATTTGGGTCTATTTTGGGGAAACCTAGGGGTAGGTCCTTAGCATACGGAAAGCCGATTATTTGAGGGTCCATATTTTTTAGGGGTCCCCTGTCTTCGTAAACTCCCAAGTCCCCGGACGCGAAACTCTTAGCATCCCGAGAGCCTTAAGAGCCCGCAAACCTAGTTCAGGGTTTAGGGTTTAGGGTTTAGGGTTTAGGGTTTAAGGTTCAGGGTTTAGGGGTTAGGGCTTAGGGTTTCTGACTAGGAACCCCATTCTCAAAGGGGTCTTCGAACCGGTACAGCAGTCGGTCAGGGGGTCTTCAAAGTCAACCCTACACCCTAAACCCTAAACCCCAAAACCCTAAACCCTAAACCCTAAAACCTAACCCTACACCTTGCGCAAACTCGCAGGCAAGTGTGCCGAGGCCCCCTGAGCCGAAGGAGGAGAAGGAGGACGAGTATCCTCCGGCCCGGCCCCTGGCTTTAGGAGCAACCCTAAACCCTAAACCCTAAACCCTAACCCCTAAACCCCGGGTCGAGCTTTGAAAGGTCTAGGAGCGCAGCGCCGCAGTGCGGTGCAGAAAAAGAAGTTCACAAGTCATCACTTCTTGTAACCTCTACAGTAGCCTCGGATGCCCAGTAGTGCCCTTATTCACTTTTTGGTAGGTTTAGGCTCCCTTATAAACCCCTTTAAGCAAAAATGGGCACCCTTTTTCATCCTAGGTTACGGGCAACCTAGTAGCTCAATCCAAAAGAAACCCCAAAACATTGAAAATTCAATGGGCCGATAGGCCCCCCCATGTTTTCCTGAAGCCCTAAAACCCTAAACCCTAAACCCTAAACTGCTCGCGAGAGCGGCGTCGAGGTGGGCGAGAGCCGCGGTCGCGGCCAGCAGCGGAGGCTCGCTTTGGCTTGTCCGAAAGTCAGGTCTCGGGTGTTTAGGGGTTTAGGGTTTAGGGTTTAGGGTTTAGGGTTCCTTGAAAGGGAGCCCTTCTTAACCCTCTTCTGGCTCTGTTAAACAGGGAGCTTATTGAGAGGGTCTACATTTTTAAGGGTCCCCCTAATCCGACCCCCCTATTGGCTGGGAGTCAGAGTTTTGGGGTTTTGGGGTTGAGTGGTTTAGGGTTCGGGATTTTTGGGTTTAGGGGTTTAGGATTTTGGGTTTGGGGTTTTGGGTGGGGCAAGTCGTTCAGTACATGACGTTTACCGTTCTTGGCAGTCGGTACAATCTTGAACTCGCCGATAAACCCCAAAGTCCCAAAAAACCCAAACCCCGAATCCCCAAACCCCTGGCCGAAACCCTTAAACCTCTAAACCGCAAAACCCGAACCCCTAAACCACATCTGTGTGTCCAGGGTGCCCTTTGCCCGACTTCCGCGGCGGCGCAAAACCAAGGCCTCGAGGGGTTGATTTGGCTTATATTCTCGGTTTTTAGGGGTCGGTTGAGGGTGGGTTTAGGGTTTAGGGTTTAGGCCTTCAAAACAAGTAGGGTTTAGGGTTTAGGGTTTAGAGTTTAGGGTTTAGGATTTAGGGGTCAGGCTTTAGGGTAAGAAGCATCGCACCGGGCTCTGCTACGGCAGCACTCCCCCCTGGGGGCCATGCCCTACTGTTTGTAAGCTACCGAAGAATTGGACATGAGGATTGCGACTGCACAAGCCACCAACAAGTACGCTTGTGTTCTTACGGTAAATCCGTAAATCCGAAACTCTGCATCCTAAACCCTAAACTCTAAACCCTGAACCTGAAGACGTCCAGATTCTGTTGTTTATAAACACCCCTAACTCCCTAAACCCTAAACTACATCCCGAATCCCCAAACCCTAAGCCCTAAACCCGAACCCCTAAACCCTAAACCCTAAACCCTATATAAACCCTAAACCTTAATTAATCATAGGGCTTTGATCAGGGTACCGGCCGCGGCAGTGAGCCAGCGGAGGCCGCAGACGAGGGGTTGGGGGTTTTTAGGTGTTTTGAATGTAGGGATTTAGGGGCTGGGGTTTAGGGTTTGGGGTTTAGGGTTTAGGGTTTAGTGTTTTAGGGCTTAGGGAACTTGAGGGGGTTTAGGGTTTCATGATTTCAGGACTTTGAATTTAGGGTTTAGGGCTCTAGGGAATTCAAAAGGGGCTTTGGGCATTAGGGGTTTAGGAGTTTTAGGGTTGCAGGGTTTAGGTTTCTCCGGGATTTCGGGAGTTAACGGGGTTTAGGGACTGAAGGAGTTGATGGGGCCTCGGGTGTTAAAAGTTGCCTTAGCAGTTTGATTTTTCATGGAACTGGGGAGTTTAGGGCTATAGGATGTTGGGACTTAGCAGCGTTTAGCAATGCAAGGCCTTGGGAACTTGTTGGTTCAGGGTTTAGGGTTTAGGGTTTAGGGTTTAGGGTTTAGGGTTTAGGGTTTAGGGTTTAGGGTTTAGGGTTTAGGGTTTAGGGCCGCAGCGCTTCGGGTGTAGAGTTGGCGGGCCCAGAGGTCGGTCTGGGGTTTGGGTGTTCGGGGTTTAGGGTTTAGGGTTGTGTATAGGGTTTAGGGTTTGGGGTTTAGGAAAACCCTAAACCCTAAACCCTAAACCCGAAACCCTAAACCCTAAACCCTAAACCACTCACATCCCTAGGAATAAAAGCCGCCAGGCCCCCACCGACCGGGAGACCACAGACGGCGAGCCGCCGCCTGAGCCGATCGAAGCGGCCCAGGAGGACGGGCTGGGGGGTTTAGGGTTTAGGGTTAGGGTTTTGGGTTTTGGGTTTGGGGTTTTGGGTTTTGGGTTTTGGGTTGTGGGTTTTGGGTTTTGGGTTTTGGGTCTTGGGTTTTGGGTTTTGGGGCTTGCATGCCCTGAAGTGTAGGGGTTTAGGGGTTTAGGCTTTAGTGGTTTGAGGTTTAGGGTTCTTAAGGTTTAGCATCTCAGGGTCTAGGGTTTAAGGGCCAAGGAGCTTCGGGCGATTCCTGGAAACAGGCTTTAGAATAGCGGTAGGAATGGCAAGCCATTGAGCCTGAGCCCCCCCAAAGGCCCAAAAGCTCTTGGCTGAACCCCGAAATCCCAGAGCTAAACCCCTCCAAGCCTCCAACTAAACCTTCAGAAATCTGAGCTCATAGGATGAGCCCCCAGCGCGGCGCACACACGCACTGTAGCGGCCTAGATAAGGTTTCGTGGGGCACCTTATAGTATGAGTAGAAAGGGACTCTGAAGGAAGACTATCAGTAATTCTTCCGACCCTCCATGTAAAAAAAGCATCACCCCAAAAAGTCCCACGCTGATCTCTGAGCACAAGGAGATGGCCTCCTAACCCGCCAAACTGACTCACCGTCATGACCTGTAGGATTGGGGCCTGAATAGTTTTCAATAAGGCTTTGCGGGGGAATTCTGGCATAATTATAAGGGACCCTAAACTATTCGTAGTTATACCGACCCCTATATTAATACATGAGCCCTGTCAGTTCCACCGTGAGATGATGGTTTCTAATGAGTGTACATAGGATTTCTCATGCATATTCCTCTGCTCTATTTATTGCATGTCCTGCTGGGGATAGGCATAACAAAGGTCCTACCTCTTGTATTCTGATAGCATGGCGAATTAACACCCAAAGCTGGAAAACTTTCCCTTCCCGCACAGCTCAACCAGTAGCGTTGCTGGTGCTGCTACTGGTGCATGCAAGCAAGCCTTCGATCGCGCACGGGCTTTGCAGGAGTCCGTGGCGACGACAGACGCGGCTGCCCTGGGAGCAAGACGGAGCATGTTTTTGTTTTGTGAGCAGCTGATAGCATGTTTGTCAACAGCTCTGGCTAAGATTCAGCTCCTGAGTAGAGATCCTGATCATATGTACAGCCTGCGTTCTTCGTAGCGCCCAGACTCCCAGATCCTGAAGTCGAAAATGCCCTGAACTCAGGCCGGCGGCGAACAGAGCGATCAGAATCAGAAGGAGTATGATGCACTTCTGCAGATGCTCAGGCCACCAGCTCATGGTCAAGTTGTCGGGCCTGAAACTACCTGAAACCGCTGAACTCTCAAACTGCCAAACCTCAGCTTTGCATATGGTCGAATAAACAGGAAGAGCTGGAAACCCCAAACCCTAAACCCTAAACCCCAAACCCTAAACCCTAAACCCTAAACCCTAAACCCTAAACCTTCACTTAAACGCCTCAGAACCTTACGTCCGAACCGCCTGCTCCACATGCCGCGAGGGACCAGCTCCGGGCAGACTCGGAGCCTTCTCAGGAGGCAGCCGCGCAGGCGATGAGGGTTTAGGGTTTAGGGTTTAGGGTTTAGGGTTTAGGGTTTAGGACTTGGGGAGCCACGGTGGCGCTCTTCGGGATCTGAGGTTTACCAGTTGAGGGTGCGCATGCGTAGCTCTACATCTGTTCTTACAAACATATATAAATGGAAGTAAATACATGAATGAACAAATGTATTTTTGTTTACACACACACATACATATACATATACATATACATATACATATACATATACATATACATATACATATACATATACATATACATATACATATACATATACATATACACACATATATATATATATATATACATATGCATATATATATATACATACATATATACATATATACATATATACATATATACATATGTACATATGTACATATGTACATATATACATATATACATATATACATATACAAATATATATATATATACATACACATATATATATATATGTATATAAGTATACAAGTTGTTTTGTGTTCTGAGAGGGGTGGATGATGGAATCGATACTTAGTGGTTGAGAGCTCTGCTCCTCCCTCCAAGCCCCAAACCTAAACCCCACCCCAAACCCTGAGCAAGCTTTAAGCGACGCAGCCCCAAACCCTAATGGCTTGGGGTTCAGGGTTCAGGGTTCAGGGTTCAGGGTCCAGGGTTCAGGGTTTAGGGTTTAGGGTGTATGATTTAGGGCACTAGGCCGCCCAAACCTCAAGACTGAAGATTTGAAGCGTCTTCATAATCTCGACTCCCCAAACCCTATAGCACCCTATCCTCAACCCAAACCCTCCAGAACTCTTAGAACCCCCAAACCTCTTGAGAGCCCTACAGAAGCCTACAGAACCCTTACGACCCTGTGCCCTAAACCCTAAACACTCAACCCTAAACCCTAAATGGCCCTAAACCCTAAACCCTCAACCCTAAACCCTAACCCCCCAAGCCCAGCCCCTAGCCCAGAAGGCTGCGCCCGCCGTGAGCGACTTGGACAGCCAGGGCCGGGACCAGGCCACGCTGAGCAAGGATGAGCAGGCGACTGGGGCTCTGGGTTTCAAGTCAAAGTATCTTGAGGGTCTTGTGGGGAATAGTTCTTGATTCTTGGGTACCATGATTCCTAAGAAAGTTTCTTAAGGATTTTGTGGGGAATGATTCTTGATTCTTGGCTGCCATGATTCCTAAGAAAGTTTCTTAAGGATTTTTGTGGGGAATAATTCTTGATTCTTGGTACCATATGATTCCTAAGAAATAGCTACAAGTATGGATCTGCTACAAGTATAATGTCTACTAGGGTTCCACGATCAGTATTGGTTTAGGGTGTAAGGTTGGGGTTCAGGGGTAAGGGTTTAGGGTTAAAGGTAAGGGTTCATGGGGTTTATTATGCGCCCGCGTTCCGCGTAATCGACCCCCCCCCCGCCCGTTAACCTTAAAAGCACCACGGACCACGGGGGGGAGAGAGAAACCCTCAACCTAACCCCAAACCTGAACCCTGATCCCTAAAACCTAAACCCGCCAATGAACCACAGGGGGAGAAGGGTAAACCCGAAACCTTCACCGCTTTAACCCTGGACCATAAACCCAGCACGAACCACAGGGGGGAGAGCGGAAACCATAAACCTACCATTACCCCAAACCGTGAACCGTAAACTCTAACCGTGAACCAATGGACCAAAGGGGTGAGAGTGAAAATCCTGAACTCTACAGCCTAACCCTAAACCATAAGCCCATGAACCGCAGACCATGAACCACGGGGGGGGGGGGGGGGGGGGGAGAAACCCAAAACCGAACCCGGATAGATGGGGGGATTACCATGGGGTGGGGGGGGAGGGTGCGGCTATGCTGGCTCATGTGGAGTTCATAGGGCCATAGGAGTTCCACAATTTGGGTCCAAGAGTTTAGAGTTTTCCCGGTTCGAGCAGTCAGCTCAGGACTCGTAAACAGTTCGAATACTCGCCGCCCCCGAATTTTCAACCCCCCCCCCTACCCCTTGATATGAAATACCCCCAGTTATCGTGTATGGCGAATATTTGATATTAGGGGCAGGGGGCTTATCCTAAACCCCAAACCCTAAACCCTAAACCCGTTAGCGGGAAGCGAGTACTTCAAGGGATGGGTCAGCGTCATACAGAATCATCGGTGCAGACCTCACCTCCACTCCGCACGCTAGGTAGGCAATGCCGAAACTCTACCCTGCACTCTAAAACCCTACACCCGAACCCCCGAACCCTAAACCCTAAACCCTAAACCCTAAACCCCCCCAACCTTTCCCCCAGGCTCACACGTGTGAAGCACTCCGATCGCAAGCCCCCAACCTTTCCCCCAGGCTCGCACGTTTGAAGCACTCCGAACGTGAAAGGAGATAAACCCCAAACCCTAAACCCTAAGCCCTAAACCCTGAACCCTGAACCCTAAACCCTAAACCCTAAACCCTCAAGCCTAAACCCTAAACTCAATCTTAGCATCAAACTCGGGGGTTTCTCTAAATGACGACAGAACCTAAATATTTTTATGCTCCCCAAAGAAAGGATCTAGGGTTTAGGGTGAGCACTGCCCGTGAGACATGAAAGGGTGCGCGGTGTCGGGTGCGGAGTGCTCCGAAGCTCCGGGAAAGCCCCTAAACCCCAAAGCCTAAGCCTCATTGTATCTGGTGTTCTTCATATACCTTACTCTCCCTTCTCTTCGGACAGCTCTCTGGGCAACCCGAAGGCGAGAATTCTGGAGCTCTTTGAGGCTCGACGCCTCGCAGAAAAGGCCCGGGGTTTCGGGTTTAGGGTGCACGGGGGAACTGCAGAAGGTGAGCGTTTGGATTGAGGTTTTAGGGTCTTGGGCTGGGGCTGAGGGGTGTGGAGGGATGCGCCTAGGGGGCTAGGGCGGGGGGTGTTGGTCGGGTTGCTGATATGTCGGGAGAAGGGCTGTCAAGACCCAAAAGGTTTTAGTCCGAAAGTCACTGGCTGGGGGTCCCACTTCTACCGTTCTATCATGGAGTCATGGAACCCTCTAAGCCCTAAATCCCTAAGCCCTAAATCCCAAGCCAAAAAAGCCTAAATGTAGAATAGTCCTTTGGCGAGGAACCTGATCGCTTTCGTGGCTGTGGCATGTTCATATCCCCAAAATGCTCTCAGTCTTTTGTGAGGCCCCCTGGTCCAAAAGCCCAATCAATCCAGTCACACTTCTGGCGTCCCTCTGCGCGAAGCCCTGCGATCAGGCTGCGGGACGGCACCGCAAGAGGAGCACTCCTGGCAGGATTTTGGCAACGCCCTACTCTCCGCGAGACTCCCTGGCCCCAGAAACGTAATTAAACCTCCAGAACCCCGTAACCCCAAAACCTTTGAACCCTAAACCCTTCCATGCCAGATTCCGGAGCTTCGACAAGATTCGGGTCAGTTATCGAATTTTCGGAGTGGAATTGTTAGACAAAGGGCTCTCTCTCAGCATGAGGCCTCTAGAAAGGCCAGTCATATGCAAAGTCCCATTCGAGCTGTTGAAAGCTCACCCTGCATCCTGGCATTCCCAAAGCCCGGCCCCTCCCAGCAGCTTGAAAATCCCTGCAGCAAGGCGGGCAAAGAAGCCTGCTTTGCCATCCTAACCCTGAAGCTCTAAACCAGAATAAAAGTATATCGTCACATAATGCGAGAGAGTAATGTAACAATATAGTAATAGAATATAGTCGTTCAGAATAGAACAATATAGTGCCAGTACAAAATCAATATAACATCGCAGCTTAATGGTAAAAAAAGTAAGTCCCACGCCAGGCTTGGCCAAGAAGCGCGAGAAGGCGGAGAGGAAGCTGGCACCTTCCTCCGCGCTTTGCGGGAGGGGGGAGGGGGAGGGGTTTTGGGTTAGGAGAGGGGGGGGGGGGGGGGGGGGGGGGGGGGGGGGGGGGAGGGGGGGAGGGGGGGGGAGGGGGGGGAGGGGGAGGGGATGGGGGGAGGGGGCGAGGTGGGGGGGAAGGGGGGGGGGGGGTGGGGGGTGGGTGGGGGGGGGTGGGGGCGGGGGGGGGGGGGGGGGTGGACGAGGGAAACAGACCGGCCCAGGGCAAATGGTGCTTTGTAGGTTTTCATAGGGCTTCAGGCTTGTTCATGCTGTGAATATATATATATATATATAAATCAATAAAATGACTATATATATATATATAGATAGATAGATATACATGCATATTTTCTCGTCGCATGAATATAGTCAGATGTTCATACATTCAGATGCTCATATACTCATATATTCAAGTGTACTTGTTTGGTAACTTGTACTCTTTGGATGCATGAAGCAGTATGGTATCAGAGAAGCAATGATGGGACCATTGGCCAGGATCGTGACTACATCAAAAATGAGATCAACAGCGCCTTTCAGGCCTGTGGCTCTTCTGGCCTGTGTGGTAATGTGCCGAAAGCTGACGACGAGTATCATCAGAAAAAGTTGCCGGTGGAGGGATCTAGGATGGTCTATGGTTTGGCCCCCACTGGAGGCCAACCGCTTGCGATAGCATGACCAGCACGGTGTCCAATTCGAACCTCAAGCCATACACCCCCTAAATGCGTAAACCCCCTTGCTCTTGGCGCTATGAGAAGTCTTCTCCAGCTGCCTATTAACTGAGTTACACCCATGATATGCCCTTCTCATGAAACCCACCACGTTGCAGATGGACATGTCTAGCTATACGTTGTGGTCTCTGTCTTGCTGTTCCTTGCATTCTGTGACTGGCAAAACCTCGAGCATTCAGCACGAGCATGAGGCGCATCATGATTCCGGCGTGCGATACTACAACTCGGTGGCGATCAGAGTCCGGGCCTGAGACCCTAAATGGGGGCTTCCGAAATTGGGGGTACCTGATTGGGGTCCTCATTATAAGGGAATCCTGCTATTTTGGGGTTTAAATAAGGGGTTTCGTGTTTTCGTAAACCCCCAACTCCTACATCCGACGGCCCTGTCTTGTGGGCCCACGTTGGTTTGAGGATTTAGGGGATTAGGGGCAGTAGGGCTGCGTTATGCGTTAGAAAATATAAGGAGGGCTCCCCTGAGAAGCATGGCAGGGGTTTGCTCTTGCGATCCACGGCTTTTTCTGTGGCAAGTTGCTGTAGACATGTCTCCCTTGCATCTTCTAGGGTTTAGGGCTTAGGGCTTAGGGCTTTGGGCTTAGGGTTTTTACGGTTGCCCAACTCCTCATAGCCGGTGCATTCTGTACTGCGTGCGACACATGTCCTGCCACACCAAACGCCAAGCACCGCCGGAGCTTGGTCCAGAAGCTAGACCCTAGGGTTCAGGGTTTGGGGTTTAGGGTTTAGGGTTTAGGGTTTAGGATTAGGGCTTGTTGGTTTTGGGGCTTCCATCGAGGTCCACAAGGGCGAAAAAGCCGTGGACGCGAAGACCATCGAGCAAGTTGCGTCCGCTCAGGCAGAACATGGCTGTATCGTATAGAGACTGCTGCGACTTATTCCTCGATCCAGATTGCATGGATAACCCTAAACCCTAAAACCCTCAAAGAGAATCAATCGTTGCGACTTGCTGCTTTCGCCTTGCTTGGCGCATCAGTGAGGATATGGCGGACATAAAGCTGTAGTTTGTCTGTTAGAATCAGCAAGGCCACACGAAGTGCAACTCTTTCGGGGTATGGGCCTCTCCGGGATGGCAGATTTAAGGTTCAACACTAAACCCTGATCCTCTAAACCCTGAACACTCCATAGTTAGGGATCGACACGCCTGGAGGCGGGGAACATGAGCACCCGCACAAAGGAGGCGCAGCAAGCTCTCGAGCAGTTTGGGTTAGGCTTCTTCAGGTATAGCATGTCATATCTAATCCATATATGTATGTATACATGTATTCATACGTCACTATTTTATTGTGATGGGGTTGTGCCCGTTTGTGGCTTTCTATGCTGTCGTACTTCAGGGTATTTATGGGTAATTGCCCCTTTTGGGAAGCGCCCAGCCAAGGACGGGGAGGTGTGACAGAAGTAGGCGGTTTGGGGCTTACTTTCTGGTTCTTCGTAGGGAATGAAGGAATGAGGTACCCTATATAATCCCTTAAAGGGTATATATGGGGGCATGTAAGGTGCCCAAGTCCCTCATTCCCTTCTAAGGACCAGGCAGTTAAGGTGCTCCGGGCATCTCACTTCCACCAGCTTCCAAGCCAGGAGCGCGTGATGGCAAGGAGAGTTGCGTAGCCGTGTAGCTCTCCGCAGGTTTCCAAGGGCGCTGGACAAAGCATCCCATGCGAAGAGCCTGAACTAGCCCCAAAACGTACCCTTTCTTTTGTGTGGTCGTAGTTATGGCTAGGGCGTTTAGACACTCGAAGCCCAAAACCTATGCGTTTGTAAGTTGTGGGTTTTGCGAGACTCAAAGTAGGCGTTGAGGTTCCTAAGGCAGATTTGCAGAACAGGGTTTGGTCTGAGTCTAAATGGTGGTCGTCTGCTTGGTACTGTACCAGAAACCAGAAGAAATTTACCATAACGTAAACCCTAAAACTCTTCATCACCAAAGGCCTAAAAATTTAGACCAGCCCCTCTGGGCAGCTCTCTAAACAATGAACTAGGACCTCAGAAGCCCTCCACATTGGACAGTCATATCTGCAGTTCTATAGAAGATGACGTTCCACTTTTGCGTACGCCGTTCTCGTTCCAGTTGAACATTGGAAAGTTGAGGCATCTAACCCTGGGGCCCTTCAGGTCAAGCACCAGCGTATCAAGACATACCAATGAAGCACCCCAAAGTAGCGACAGCTCCGCTGCATGCTGCCCATGGCCGCATGGTCGGATGCTTTGTATCTGCGTGGACTTTTCAATCTTAGCTTGACTGCCGACGATCCTGTGCGTGGTGAACACGAGTGGTATGTCCCGCACAAAATCCTGATGTGCCTCGTAGACCCCGTAGACCCTACGTAGCTAGGGCCAGGTCTTCATGGTTTTTGGGGGGGGGGGGGGGGGGGGTGGTTTGTATAGTGGCAATGGCTGGAAGCAAAAGAATGAACGACAAGTCTGCCTAATATGAGAGCAGTCTTAATTTTGTTTAATGTGTTTCGCCTTGTCAGAGGCCTGACTAGGCTCCCATAGCTGATGGTAGCTAGAGTGACATGAGAAGAAGTCGCAAGGGCCGGGCATTTTCCGTGCGCACGCAGGCGTATCTCCCTAGTCAAGCCACATGGAGCCCAGCCATTTCGGCATATTTAGCTAGGGTTAGTGTCGAGGCACCCGGTCAGCAGGAAACACGTCAAGCTATCTTGCAGAGTGTGTCGTGGACTTTCTTCTGTGTATGTTGTGTGACTTCAAGTGTACTTTATAGCCTTCATGTACGCAGGGGCTGATGCAGTACACTTACTGCATGTGTTAAGTGTACATCGGATCTGTATGTATCATTTCATACATACATATATATGTATGTATGTATGTATGTATGTATGTATGTATGTATGTATGTATGTATGTATGTATGTATGTATGTGTGTATGTATGTATGTATGTATGTATGTATGTATGTATGTATGTTTTCCATGTATATAGATAATATGCACAGGTATGTAGCATACTCCACTTCTCTGAGACTTAGACCGGGCATGGCGTGTGGGGGCGCTGAGGTCCAAGCGCATCTGAACGCCGCGGCCGCGGCGACGAGTCTCCGCACCGAGTGCTTGGTGGGAGGCTGGTGGGTTCAAGGTCTATATAGGGTGTAGGGTTTAGGGTTTAGGGTTTAGGGTTTAGGGTTCAGGGTTCAGGGTTAGGGTTTCGGGATTTTTTTGGACTTGTGGTTTAGGGTTTAGGGGGTTGAGGGGGTTTTGGGGGTTTAGGGGGTTTTGGGGTTTTAGGACTTAGGGTTGAGGGGGTTTTCTTGTTGAGGCCTTCACTGCCTCTCGCACTCTTTCGCCGTTGCATGGCTGTATACTGGAGGTAAGCCCCGAAGTCTTCAGCTCCAATTTGGGATATCCCCCCCAGTCCTTAAGAGGGATTATCAGGGGTACTATAGTCTCTATCGAGGACTGCTAGTATAAGGGGCAACATCCCAAGCTCTAATCCCTAAACCATGATACGCCTCCGAATGCCTGAGCCTTCGGCCTTAACCCTGAACCCCTGTAGGCTTTAAGATCTCAACCTTCCACCCTCAACCCAGAAGCTCTAAAACCCCCTTCCTAAACCATAAATCTTCCCTACCTTAAGTTCCCCCCAAGTCTACTTCGTGGTAGGTGCTGAGGACGAAGCCGGCCGTAAGAGAGGCGTGCAGGAGCCTAGAGAGTTACCAGTAAGATTCCTGTAGAATGACGAGAGAATTTGGGTTTAGGGCCTCCGAAACCCCTCACCCTCACCCTACAAGCTTGGACACCGAAAAACCTGGCATCTCAAGACAGCTGCTTCTGAAGGCATGTCGACACAGAAGCAGAAGCGGGACAGCCCGGTCGGTTTAGGCTTTGGGGGTTGAGTGGGGTTTAAGGCTTAGGGCTGCACATCCCCCGGCTTACGCCCTAGACCGTAAACGAACTTAGAGGGTTTACCGGCTAGGGGTCTTGCTCGGCATATATGTCTCGAGTTGAGCTTTGGGTTTTTTCGGGGTGGAGTTGAGAGTTTAGGCCTCAGGGGCTAGGGATTTACTTCCGGCGTTTGGGCTTAGCTTTAGCTGGGATGGTTCAGGGTTTACGGCTTTTTTGGGGAAGGGGGGGGTTGGAGGTCAGATGGCAAGTTGGGGGCTACAGACTTTAGCAGCTCCAGATTGGTCGGATGCGGCATGACTTGTGACAGGGCGTTGGGCTCATGGACTGCAGCAGCAGGAGTGTAATATGGGCTCGGAATGATTATAATAGTCTTCCGTCCTGATGGTCTGTTTACAATTGTACTATACTACCCCACCCCCCCCCCAAAAAAAAAAAAAAAACTATTCCATTTGCTAAGGCCCCTACATCAACTGTAATTAGGCGGTTTTGTGTGAAACTCCCAACCTTTCAAAGCTTGTGGGGGCTGGGGTTTGATTCTGGCTCGGGGCTGCAAAGGCTTGATAGGGTTTAGACGGTTTGGATTTGGGGGTCTCCGAAGTTAGGGGTGCCTTATTGGGGTCCTTCTTATAAGGGAGTCCGACTGTTGGGGTCTACATTGGGGGTCCCCTATTTCGTAAACCCTCATTTATATAACCCCTAAACCATGAACCCGACATGTGTGATTTTTGCGCATGCCAAATCAGTAGTCCAGGAATTCAGGCCGAATTGCTGAGCCAGGTGGTTTACGGTCTAGGGGTAGAGCTTCAGGTTTCAGGGCTTAGGGTTCAGGATTTTGGGGACTTTCATTGTGGACCCTAATGTGATTCTAGCCTTGAAGTCCTGAGCATACTCGGCTTACGTAACTGCAGGAATGGGCCAGCTGGGCCATGAGACGATCCAAGTTAGCAAACTCAATCCTTCAAACCATCAAGAAAATCACAACTCCAAACCCTTAGAACCCTAGTAGCCGCAAACCACAACCGCATGAGTCCCCCCCCCCCCCCAAATAAAAGTGCACAAGCATACCAAAACCCCAAAGCTCTAGAACCCCGACTGTCGCTAAACCCCCCACAACACAAGCACCCCACAAGCCTTAAAGAGAGTTCCAACAACATGAGCATGAAACTCAAACCCTGAACCCTACATTCTACAATGGTCCTACACCAAACATCCTACACCCCAAGCCCTGAACCCCAAACCCCGAAACCCCGAAACCCCCAAACCCCCAAACCCCAAAACCCCAAACCCCAAACCCCAAACCCTAAACCCTAAACCCTAAACCCTAAATCCTAAACCCTAAACCCTAAACCCTAAACCCTAAACCCTAAACCCAAACCCCAAAGGGCTCTTTTAAAGAGCCCTTAAAGCTCGGCGAGATTCAGAGGCGTCTGCTGAAGCGCCGGCCTGGCCTTGTGGCCGGCGACTTAGGTTGGGTGGTGAGCTGCGGTTTAGGGTTTAGGGTTTAGGGTTTAGGGCTTAGGGTTAGGGTTTAGGGTTTAGGGTTTAGGGTTTAGGGTTTAGGGTTTAGGGTTTAGGGTTTAGGGTTTAGGGTTTAGGGTTTAGGGTTTAGGGTTTAGGGTTTAGGGTTCAGGCGGTAGGGTTCAGGGTTTGGGGTTTGGGGTTTAGGGTTTAAGGTTTAGGCTTTAGGGCTTTAGAGGGTTGGGGGTTTAGGATTGGAGGGTTCGGGGATTCGAGGGTTCGAGGGTTCTAGGTTTAGGGTGGGAGGGTAGGTCCAGACTTGCATTGTTGGGCGTGCAGAACCGTCCCGTCATAGTGGGTAGGTTTTAGGGGGGTCGGGGGTGTAGGGTTTGGGTGCTTTCGCGTCGCGGAAGAGATGAGGGCCGGCTGTTGGGGTGGAAAGTGGGGGTTGGTAAGGGTTTAGTTGGTGACAGTGACGGCTTCAGTCCTAAGAACTTAGGGTTTGGGGTTTCGGGGTATATACTCACCGCGTCCCTCCATCAAC